GATATCCAACTGCTTCCTCCGACCTTAAACCAAATCTACAAAAGAATTCCACATTTTCTGCGTCATCTTCATCTACCTTCAGGGTGCAAAGGGAAAAGCTCGAGTGTAACATTGTCAATGATTTTATCAAAAGTAGCATTTATGTTTCTTCTGCTCTCTATCTCTAAGTTCTCAAATCCCCAGCTCCTACATGTCCTCTTGTACCCATTATCTTCCACTAACTCCACTGAATCTCTCTGCACAAACATTGATTAAAAACAAAAATCTTCAATAATAATTGCTATTTTAAAGCATCATTCTTTAACTATAATTAAGACCAATAAATAATCCTTAATTAATACATACCCTGATGTCTAGCGACGATGATGTTCTTGTCTTGGTTGTTGCGCAAGGGTTAGAGACACTAATGGAGTTGAAGCTGTTTTGGCAACTTAGGTTGATGAGGTTGTTCCTCTTCTGCTTCTGTCTCTCACGTGCTTTGTGGTTCTGGAACCAGTAGAACACATTCTTCCCTTCAATTTTGCCATACTTACCGAGTTGAGATGTGATATGCTCGATCTGTTGAGCGTTAGGAGTGCGCATTCCTCCTTTGTACAACATCTCAAGTATCCCTATTTGTTCTTGAGTCGGGTTCCACCGTGTCCCTCCCGGGTGCGTCTCTACCTACACCCACATGTAACATTTCGTTTATTAGGAATCACACGTCTCGAGAAAAAAAAACACATAATATAATGTAAAAGGACATGAACCATTCCACTCGTTAGAAATGCTACTGTTTTTGGTATATGCCTATTTTGCAAAATTCTTGTGTTTTTTTTTCTCTCAACAAAAGAAGAAGAAAACGAAAAACATGTAAATAAAATTTAAATGTACAATAAGTGAACTAACTTGAGGAGGATCTCTTTTATGTTCAATAGGGTATTCACATTTCCGCGGGCCGGTTTGATCAGGTCTAATGAAGGACTTGAGGTCGAAAGTGGCTGAAGTGATGCCAGAGGAAGAAGAAGGAGGAGAGGAAGGGCTGCTGGAGAGCTTTGGGGCGAGAGGACGGAGGCGTTTGCAGCTTAGGCTAAGGGATGAAGGCGAGTCATGTTGATCCCACGACGAAAACCCATCGGAAAACTTATGAACTTTCATTGCTTATTTGATAGTGCCGGTCTCGTTACAAGACTTAGCTTAGCTATATATAGAAGAGATTTGTGGAATGTTAGTAATGTGTTAATGATAATTGGTGATATCCAGTTGGGTAGGAAAATGAACAGATGATTTTCTTTTTAGAAAAGTAGGGCGTCGGGAAACCAAAGACCAAATGATGGGATATGGTTGACTTTTATCATTTAAAATCTCTTTGTCTTTATTGTCCAAAAACATATTCGGAAACTAAAGCAATTGGTGAAGACCAATCCAAATTTGGAACAATTTAACGATAGTGAAATCTCTGATTTTTGTTTTTGTTTTGAGAAAGTGAAATCTAATTGTGTGATTATAGATATGCGTACGTGTGTCTAGATACACATAATACATGCGTACGTTTGATGTATTCATGTCTGCATGGAGCACTACTACTTTGTACTATCAACCAAATCATAATAATTAATTTCATCCGTCAAATAGGAATGGGTAAAGTTAAGAGCAGATATTTAAAACTCATATACCGCATTATACTTATGTTCTAAAATATTGGACTAGTTTTTTGCTAAAAAATTGGACTAGTTGTAGTCTATAATATGTCTTGAGCTCCTATTATTTAGGCAGAATGTTATATGATATAAATACGTGATATTTAAGATCATCCCCAACGCTAAGATACTCACTCATTAAGTCTCTTATTTAATAGTTTTAAAACAATTTAGTTATTTTTTAAATTATTAAAACCACTCTCAACCAATTAAACAAAGACAAATTGTAAATGGATTTCTTCAAAACATAGAATCGTTTCTTCTTGAAAATACTCTCATATTTCTTTCTCTTTTTTTTTGTCTATGTTTATTAATTGTTTAATCTTAAAAACTCATTAAAGAGCTTGCCAATGGGATGCACTAATGACTTCCTGTTCCGTGAGATTGACATTGACCCACGAGGCCACGAGCCAATACGTTTGCTTTTACGTACATAATTTAGGTCTGAATTTGTTTTTGTATCAATTTTTTTTTTAACAAATGCATGTGGCTTATTAGGAAAAAAAAAATTCAAACCAAAGCTAGACAATACTACTACCCTTTTTTTAATACAAGTTGTATAGGGACATAATTTCTCTGATTTTTTTTTGTTTTAACAAACACACAGAAAAAGTTTGCTTTAATGATAAGATGTCGAATGCTTTTCGGTGGCTCTCAAGTCTCAACAACTTTATTT